GACTTCTGCCAAGAGCATCCCAGGCGTGTTCGATGGGATTGAGGTTGGGAGACCTTGACACCCAGTCCATGACGTTGACTCCCGTATGCTGAAGGAAATTCCTTGTCAAAATTGCAGTGTGGGGTCTGGCATTGTCGTGTTGGAAGATCAAACCGGGTCCATGTGCTGCCATAAAAGGCAGAAGTTCTGGTGCCAGTCGAGGTAAGCAGCAGCGTTGAGATTGCCATGGATGACAAGAAGCCTGGAACGTGCATTGCCACAGAAAGCACCCCACTGCATGACACTTCCGGCCCGAAATCTGTCAACTTCCTGTACACAACACTGGGCGTAACGTTCATGACGGCGCCTCCACACCCTCGCTTACCATCAGCAAATCAAAGATTAAATCGGGATTCATCACTGAAGACGACTTAATTCCAATTCCTCTGAGTCCATCGTAAGTGTCACTGTGCCCACAATTGACGTTGACGTCTGTGTAATTGAGTCAGAATCGGCCCGCAGTATGGCCGTCGTGCTTGAAGGTGAGCAGTTCTCAGACAGTTTCGAACAGTTTGCGCACTCAGTCTACCCCTAAACAGTTCATTTCTGATTGATGAAGCCGTCAAAAATCGGTAACGGAGGTGACGTAAGACAATCTGACGATCCTCTGCATGTGACGTCACATGTGGTCGACCTGGTCGAGGGCGATCAGCGGTGGTACCCGTTTGCTGTAGACGCGTCTGTAAATGATAAACAGTCCGTCAACTACAACCCATCGTCCTTGCGGCTTCAGCTACGGACGTTCCCATCTGCAACATGCCGATGGCACGTTCACGTTGCACATTTGAAAGGCATGGCATGACAAATGGCCGTAAAGACTTTTGTTTTCTTGTGTTTTTCTTTTTTTGTTAATGACTGCTAACAAGTATGCCTGAAAACATGTGCGGTATTAGGGCCATGTGACCAGTTGCACATGAAAAAACACTTTTGCCACTATGGTGCTGTGCACATGATTTTGATCGATTCACCTGCACAAAAACGGGTGTTATTTGAAGACAATACGTGGCCATTACTGTTTAGATACACAATAAGGGCCCACAATGATAACTGGTCAAAATGTTAAAATTTTAGGATCGTGAAGTTTTTAATTTGGTTCAGTATATATTCTTCAAGTGGAGAAATAACTAAAGAATCCAAAATATTATTACACAAACTTTATACACCAAAACTAAGTAAATCACAGTTTGATAATTTAGAGGACATGATTAACATGAATGAAATAACAAAGGCTGTTAAATCGATGAAAAATAAAAGACCGGGTATTGATGGTTTCCCAGTAGAGTTTTTCAAAATAGAGAATTTAAATTATTAATCAAATTTTAGGGAATTGGAGGAAAAGAAATTTAACATTGATAGGTAAAATTACTGTTGTCAAAACCTTGGCCCTGTCAACCTCAGTACATATATTTTCCTCTCTTCCAAACCCCCCAAGTGAATTTAATGATGAACTAAACAAAATATTGTTCAGATTCATCTGGAATGGGACAAAACAGTTGAGAATGAAATAGAGAGACATTATTGGGATCATAGTGTATTGGACCATGCCACAATCAAGCCAGTGATCATCATGGTAGACTCTGACAGCGGCGATAGCGATTCGGACAACAGCGACACCGATTCCGAATGCACTGTCACGGCTTCAGAAACCTGCAACAGTGACTCCGATTGAACACCCAATATGGCTTTTGAGATGTCCCCCATATACGGTGCACATGCTTGTTCATTACCTGGCTGTTCTATGAGCGACTGGTCGTCCCTGGTATGGGATGGCGAAATATGTCAACAATATGATGAACGTTTGTTAAACAATGTTTTTATTCGGGTGTCCAAAATTATGAGACAAATCATCAGAGTTGGCCTGTCCAATTCATGTCGCTGTGCACATTTTGGTTTTGTTGCAATTATTAGATTTTGACTTAGTGAGCAATTCATCGGTCTCAGATGGAATCAAACAGACTGTACACTTCCTAGATGTCTTCATCTCCAGAACCCCAACAAACAGAATCGAAACAAGTGTCTACCGGAAGCCCATCCACTTCAACTCCAACCATCCCCTTAGAACTAAGACTGGGATCATCTCCATCCTCACCAAAGAGCCATCAATCTTTCTTCTGATGACCCCAAACCTGAGATCGAACACCTCCACCAAGTCTTCACCCAACTAAACAATTATCCACCCAATCTCGTTGTCAAAGTCATCTCCTCTGTACTCCATCCCATGCCCAGATCTGCGACCCTTAAACCAGAATCAGCACCCTTCCACATCACCCTTCAATTAGGAGGAAAAGTCTCCCACATTATCAGCCGCCTCCCCAAACAGCAAGCCAATATTGACACCAACTTCACAAGTTCCACCTCCCTCAATACCCTACTAAGAGCCAACGGCAGGAACACAACCAAACCCCAAGAGCCTCAATGTGTAGTTTATAAAATTGACTGCAACTGTGGACAATATTATGTAGGTGAAACATCCCGCCCCATCAACACCATCATCAAAGAGCACAAAACGTCCACCATTAAATCCAACAGTAAATCAGCCATCTCGGACCATATCAGCCAAAGGCCCCAATCACAACATCAACTGGGACAACGTCCAAATCCTCTCAAACAACCTCCATGATTTCACTAAAAGAAAACAAACAGAAGCAGTCCACATTCGCCGCCACAAGCCATCAATCAACAGAGATCAAGGCTATTTCATCCCATCCGCCTACTATGAACTCATTAAGCAATAATCACTACACCTATACAAACTTGTCCTGTTTAATTGGCTGCATGTCCCATTGGCTTCCACCTATGTGTTCTCTGTCCATCATCTTGTGACAGTAATATCCTTCTGTTATCATTACTTACTCAAGTTATCCCACTCATGTATGTAATTGTTGTTAACGTTAATCCTCTACTGTTAATCCTCCACCTACTATATATATTCTGTACAATGTTCCTCATTCAGGACTAACCAAACCAAAAATTCTCCATCCATCAAAAAAAATCGACAGAGTAATCACTAAACTCCAAACAGGACACACCAACCTAAATAACCACCTAAAAAAAAAAAAAAACACACTACAGGTAACTGCCCACACAGCAAACAACCAGAAACCCCAGAACACGCACTCATCCACTGCACACACTACCTAACACATCGAACCGCATTACAAACAACCCTCAATCTAAACAAGGCTCTCACTCTAGAAGCAATACTAAACCCACAAAATAAACTAGAAAACTTCAAGGCCTTAGGCGTATTCTTAATAAAAACGGAACTAATAAAACGCATCTAAAAACACAATAACCTACCAAATCGAAAGCGCACGTTAAATCTCCAAAGTAAGTAAGTAAGTAAGTAAGTAAGTCCTCATTCAGTCTTGCTTGACAACAGTATAAGGATCTATACCGAAACGTCGCCTTTACAGTATTAAAGAAGTTAGTTGTTATCCATAAATTGTGTTCCTGTTCCCTGTAAGCACTAACACAGTGCATGTGCAGTCCGCACTTTTCACTCCAAATAATTTTGTTGACAACATCGTTTGACAGGCGTGAGAGAGCACCATTTTGGGACACCCCCCTTGACTATCACACATATTCTCGGACGAGTTTGACTATAATTCCAATTGAGGTCTTGATGTTCTGTTTTTGAAAATATCAGAGAGCGTATTGAGAAGGGTTGAGTCCCATTTTGCCTACATCCCATTTTGCCTACAGAAAATGTAGGCGAATAGGGAATAGAAAATGCACCCCTATTGAGAGAATGGACTTGACTTAGTGGAATTAAGGAAGGTCAGTTTCACAATGTATGAGTAAAAAGATAAATATATCATTGTCTTTAAAGGGAGTCACTTTATAATCAGTGTTTATATAAGCAACTGGCTTAAGGATTAAGGCTATGAAGATCAAAAGTAGCAGTGAAATACTTACAACAGTTTGTGATTATAAACAAATATTAATCCTTTTGTTGCACATGAGTGAAAGGGATTGTGTACATAGTTTTAATTAAAAGATCAAAGTTAAAACTAATTACTTTGTTTAAAATTGGGATATGATGATCTCATACTGATGTATAAAATAGGAAAGTCAAAAGGCTAGAAAGTCATTGAAAATGGCTAATCTTCAGCGAGCAGAGTTTGTCACGTCACTGAAGGGAGGAAGACAAGTTTTACGTCAGCTAGCTACACACTGGAAGAGTGTGATCCAGGGATGCAAAGGAAGATGCAGCACCATTGGAGATCACATCTCATCCCTTACACCCCACTCTCATCCGCCAGTAGAGAATGAAGATCAGGCCAAATTTATCAGCCGCCTCCGACGAGTACGAGAGCAGATAGACCCAGTCCAGCAGATCTACAATGATGAGATACAGTCTATGGAAGATGGAGCTGCAGCAACTACATCATCTTTCAACAGTGTTAAGTCCGGACTTGACCGTCAGTGCTCCAAGGTTCTTCCTTCCATCCCAAAGACACTTGCTGAGGTTGACCTGGCGGACAAATGGACTGAGACAGCAGATGGCGGGCAGTTCCTGATGGTGGAAGACGGCATAGATGACAGACTTCTCCTGTTCACCACTACTGAGATGTTGGACATTATTGCTGAAGCTGAGACTTTGTATATGGATGGAACTCTCTTTGCTTGTCCCAGTCTATGGCACCAGATGTACCAGACTACATCACCAGCACCTGGGTTGACTTTGATGCAAGATTTCCACCATGTCTCTGGAATCAACACAACAACATTGGTCCCAGAACAAACAATCACCTGGAAGGCTTCCATAATGGTCTGAAAAAACTTGTGAGAAAGCACCATCCGAACATTTATGAATTCATAACAGCTATCAAGAAGATTGAATCCACCAACAAGATCAATTGCCTTCAGATTGACCATGATACAACAACCCGGCCATGCTCACGAGCTTACAGAGATCTTGACCAGCGTCTCAACTGACTGAAACAGCAACTTGAAAGTGGAAGATTGCCTATTCAGTTCCTGGACGCAGCAGGTCACTTATTGAAGCTTCAATAAACTCAGATTTCTTTTTTGATCATTGTATTGTATTGTATTATCAGTTGCTATGAATAAAAATAGGAAAGAAAAACACTGAGGGAAGTTCCATTTATATCATGCATGAAATAACAGTCACCAGACCATAAATTGTTGTTTTAAGAGTGTGGGCGAAATGGGAACAACCCATTGAGAAGAATTAACTTGGTTTTCCTGAAGTTTGTCGAAGATAAATTATGAACTCTCTGACTTGAAAGGTCAGAGCTGGAGAGGGAAAAGGAATGTCTACTCGCTGAGGAGAAGTGCCTGACTAGATCCCGTCTCCAAGCTGAAATAAAGGAGCTACATTCTTCAATGGAAGGTTCAAAAATCGAGAAACCAGCAAGTGACCCCCCAGATAGCATTCAGACGTTGGCCCAACGTCGGCAATGGTTGGCAGTGTCGCGGTCGGATTTTATACGTTGGCCCAACGTTGTTACAACGTAAGGTCGCATTTCGGAAATTATTTCCAAGGGGCGCTACTCGTAATTGACAACTTCACAGAGAGGGCGCTGCGTTTTTTGCGCATCTCAACGAGCAGACGACGAGACACAAGCACAGGCTCGATCATCGGAATACCGTTTTCCTCGAATATATAGAGGTAAGTGTTTAATCAATATCTAATATGATGTACAAACAGTACCCGAGAATAAAACAACCATTGTTCATTCAGAAATATCAACACGAGTAATTATTTTCCAGAAATTGAAAACACCACAAACTTCATGACCCGAAGCCAAATAGGAATATATGTCACTCTGATTGCTTGCAAATATATAGCTTACTATTACTAGTATACCCCCCAAAAAGTCGCGCTTGTCCGTATCATAAAGTTTGTCGTTATCGTGAGGACAAGTTAGTGCAAAGAAATGTGCACCGTGTCGCGTAAGTTCAGATCGAGTGTCGATCTCAGCTGTTTCTAACAGTTGGTGGTCACCGGACAGCGAGCGACCACATGACTACCTAAACAAACACTGACTGTGGTATTTGTAAATGAATACTGGTTGTTTCTATTCTCGTGGAAGTTTAAAAATAACAAGCAAACTCAACTGAAAAGGTCAATTTCGTTCTCGCTTGTGCAATTTTACGGTCAAAAAGATCAACTAAACTGAACAATTCAGAACGAGGCTTCCAAAACTCAAAGCATTCCGTGTACATGATAAAATAATACCATGCAGACTCCTACTGATCAGTGTACGGAGCTTTTCCCTGTTGTCGGCAACATTGCGAGTTCAGTTTTCGATCACAAATCAGTGGCCGTGGGATTGTGTTTGTTGTTATTTGAAAGGGATTGATAATGGCATAATCCCTTTTTATTTGTGCATACCGCGGGGGAGTAATGGTTAGAACGAAGGGAACGTATTGGATTAGATTGGGTACGAAATAGTCATGAAATCATTTCCGATTGAGAATAATATATTTCAATAAATATTTACAGAGCTGTTTCAGCTTCATCTGGTGTTGTCTCCAATATCGCATTTTGTTAATTTTTCCAACGTTACTATCTTTGTAAATGTTAGAACTTAGATATCATGGCATATTTATATGGAAAATATTCATATTTATATTTTTAAAATAAAATAGAATCTAAAATCACGATTTTAATTTAATACCAGTGTTAACACTTCTATTACTTATTGGAAGGTCAATTCATAATCTTATTCAACATTCATGCTTCCAACATTGGAACTCTTTATTTGGCAATATATATTTTTCATTTATTTGTTTATTTTTCACATCAGATTTTAGAAACTTTGCCAACATATGCATGCTATTTTGCATTATTTTTTACTTGATCACAAGTTTGTGAGGTACAGCAGAAACGTAAAGTTATTGCTTTTGAATAATTACAGTTGATTTCTATTGGGTGATAAAACTATTTGCCAAAAATAACACCACTCACATCATACTGTTAGTAAATCAGATTTATCTCTACTGATTTATTTGAGAATGTGATACTTTGAGGTTTCTATTTTTCTTTCAGGTGGAGTTTACAGTATTGTGGAAGCATATTTGTTTACATCACATCACAGCCAGAAAGGTATACATGATGCAATAATATATTCAAACATCTTCAATAATAAAAATTTAGATGATTCTTATTTAATTACACCCCCAATCTAAAAGGGCGGGTGATCAAGTGTATCTGTCCGTCCTTCCTTCCAAAGACATTTTTTTGTGTGAGTGCAGTGCAAAGTTTGATTTTGATATGTATATTTTCTGAAAAAATAAGATTCTTTAAATGTTTTTAACTTCAAATATTTCTTTTTATTTCAACCTTTGTGCGACCTATCACTTGAACACTACTTCATGGATTCTTTTCCAATTATGGGTACAGTTTCTACACCCACAGGAGAGGTGCAGTGCGAAGTTTGGTTTTGATTAGTGTATTTTCTAAGAAAATATAGCTTTTGTTATGATTTGAACTTAAAATATTTTTTATTTCAACAATTGTGCTACCTATAACTTGAGATCTACTAGAGAACATGGATTCTGTCCAAATTTAACAAACACTTTTATATTAAAAAATGGGATGCACAGCAAAGGTTGATTTTGATATGTGTATTTTATTAATCAATTTAATTTTTGTACATGTTTTGAACTTAAAATGTTTGTTTTTTAATTCAACATTGTGCGACCTATAACTTGAGAACTGCTGCATGGATTCTTTCCAAATTTAAGAAACACTTTCTATACTAATAAAAGAGGTACAGTGAAAATGTTGATTTTGATATGTGTATTTTCAGAAAAAAATATGATTTGTTTCATGTTTTGAACTTAGAATTATTTTCTTCAACATTTGTGAGACCTATAACTTGATGTGCAGTGCAAAGTTTGATTTTGATAATTATGCTTTTTCTATGTTTTAAACTTTGAAAAATGAATGAGTCGTTACTCTTGTTCATTTAGTGTTAATAGCTTTTCTGCCTATCTATGATTCAAGAGCATCATGGTATTACTGTCTATGCTACCTTCCCAGTTTTAGCAGTTTTTAACAGTTTTATGACTTGGATGGGTGGAGGTAGCACTGCTGAAACTTTTTTTCATACATCAAATTATTATTTAGGGGAAGGCAACCATTTTGTATGTAAAAAATGTCCCTTGCCTTATCATTATTATAATTGTGTCATTGTTTTATTCAGTTACCAAGGCACACGGAGAGACTGTGGATACAGTTGAAGATCATCCCTGTGCAAAGTTCTTCTGACATCTGAGGATTGAAAAGGTCTACTCAACCACTCAGCCCAAGTTCTGATTTGTCATGTAACAAATAAATAAAGGTCACCGAAACCAGAATTCTATTGTCTTTTTGTTGCTGTTATCATATTTTTTAATAGATCAAGTATATTGATCATAGGACATCCGATGCATGGACTATTTTGCTTGTCTCAGCGTTGCCCTAATGCTGAATGTATGGGGTAAGGCCAAGAAAAATTAAACGTTTCAATTTGTGGCAGGCTTATTGTCTGATGGTTTTTAATTTGCAAACTTGTGGGAAAATCATTTATCTTTTAATAGTGTTGAAACATTTGTGAACAATTTGCACATAGTCTTGAAAATGGTTTTGGAAAGTAAATATTATAGCACCAAATTGCACGTGTAATTTAAAACATTTTGAATTTTTTCTTGGCCCTATTTCAAACTATGTATGCCGAGGTACCCTGCCAGAAGAGAGCGCATTTAATTGGCATGTTCTTTCATGGAATGAGTTCAGAGTGAATCTAACTTGCAGAATGTATTGCTTGTTACCTGATGTCTTAACTACCTTGGTACAAACATTTCAGGCTGCCTGGGAGGTATAGTGAGGAATAAAACAGACGTAATCCGACGTAATCCAACGTTGGCCATCAACGTTGGGCCAATGTTGGCTATCAACGTTGGCCCAACGTCATTTTGACCGGCGGCCCAACGTTGGGCCAACGTTGGCTGAACATCGTTGTCCCAACGTTGGCCCAACGTCTGACTGCTATCTGGGCCATGGCCCCAAGGGAAACAGTTCCCACTAGAGAGGTCAAACCCAGACACAGAAATTCAACATGTCGACCATGACCAACTTAGGGATATGGAGGACTTGGACTCAAAGGTTACCACACAGATGAAGTCCATGGGACTTGAGCTTTCAGACAGTGACTCTGACGGCAGTGCTTTGGAGACCAGACACAGGAGTGTTTCTAGAGGTAGGCGGTCAGGTATTAATGCCAGATCTGCTAAGTCAGTCATAGTGCCTCAGATATGGCCTAATACTGTCCTACAGCTCGAGTATGCTGCTCGCGTGATTAGGTTTAAGGACTTAGACTGTTTGTGGCGGGATTGTGGTGGGAGAAATAGAAATTATCAAGAACAATTCTATAACTCCTACTGAGAAGAGCGGACGTTTGGACTTGTTACAAAAAATACTTTATTACAGAGATGTGTACGAATGGCCCATCACTCTTGATTTTTACATGGCATGGCTCCGCAAGATAGAATGGGGTAAAAAATTGTGGTCTGATGAGTTGAGCATTTTAGAAACTCTGCTGTTGGCTGGATTTGTTATTAGGAAGCAGCATAGGGTCAGAAACTGATGCAGGCCTGATCCACCAACTAACACTAATGTAGCTTGGTACTGCTCACTCTATCAACAAAATAAATGTCCTCTGCATGCCCCTCACACTGCTACCATCAGAGGCCAACGTAGACTCTTACAGCACATATGTGCTACTTGTTACCAAATGGGTAGAAGCCAAAATAAACACCCCGAATGCTCTACAATATGTCCGCATTAGCCCAAAACACCTGGGGGAAAAGATAAGACGTTGTGACTAGATAATGTAGCACCCCTACCCTGGCAAGTAGAGGAAATAGGGTGGGGTAGCTTGTGTCTATCGGTCTCCATCACAGCCATCTCCATAGCCCAGCATCCCAGTGTAGTTAGTAGTGGAATTACAACTACCAAAGTTTTTTCAAATCTGAATATTCATCATCTTGCTCTACAGTTAAAAGATTTTCCTTACCAAGACATGGTCAAATATCTGGAGTTTGGCTGGCCTATAACGTTTAATGGTAACATCACTCACATAAGCAAATCGCCAAACAATACAGGTGCAACACAGTTCATACAACAGGGAAATCGGGGAAGGTGCTGTTGTGGACCCTTTGCAGACAATTCCACTATCGCTCTTTCTCCTCTCAACGTTGTCCCAAAAAGAGACTCTACGAAAAGACAGGTCATTCTGGATTTAAGTTACCCCCGAGGGTTCTTGTGTGAACAGTGGTATCCCTAAGGACTACTACCAAGGCCAAACTTGCCGTCTTCGGTATCCATCGGTCGATGATCTGGTTGAATTGGTAAAAAGCAAAGGTAGATCATGTCTCCTCATGATTTAAAGAGAGCTTACCATCAGATGCATCGGGTGACATTAAATGGCTTCATTTTCTATGGTAGGATCATATATACTTTGACTGGGTGTTGACCGTGGGGTTACAATCTGCTGCCTTTATTTGCCTTAGAGTGACTAATGCTGTGAAACATATTTTGCAGAGTGAAGGGGTGATTGCAGTTAAATGTCTGGATGACTTCGGGAGAGCAGACACCCTGGAAGAGGCATGGAACAGCTCTTCCAAGCTTGGACAGGTTTTGAAGGATTGTGGGCTCAGGGAAGGATTGTGGGCTCAGGGAAGCCTTGTCAACCATCTTCAAGAATGTTATTTTTAGGCATTTTGTTCGACACAAATCATCTTTCTCTTGAAATAGATGAAGCCAGACTTACAGAATCATGAATGCAAAGAGAAAATGATTCACTTACGACACCGATTTCAAGCTCAAGGTGGTTGCCTTTGCTGAAAGTGCAAATAACTGTGCTGCTGCATGCGAGTTTTCAGAAAATGAATTGATGGTTAGGAATTGGAGGAAAGCGAAGCCGTCACTGGAGGAGCTGCCAAAGACGAAGAAGGCCAGGGATCAGAGACTCCATTCAAGCCACTGGAAAATATTCTTTTTCAGTGGATCAGTGACTTGCAACAGTCAGCATGCATTGTTACACGCATGATGATACGACAGCGAGCTCTCCATATTACTCGGATGAGGAAGGATATGGAAGTCATGAAGTCATTCAAGGCATCAGGAACTGGTGTTCGCGGTTCTTGAGGTGACACAACGTCGCACTGAGACAGAAAACCCACATTGCCCAGAAACTTCCTGCTGATGTTGAAACTAAAGTGGAGTTTTTTCATCAGTTTGTAATCCGGAAGAAAGTAGATTACGATTTCAGCCAGATCGGCAATATGGGCGAAACTCCTCTGAACTTAGACATGTCTGGATCAAGGACCATGGACACCAAGCGAACTTCAACTGTGTCAATTCCTACATGTGGAGCGGAAAAGCAACACTTTACCGTGGTGTTAACCTGCATGGCCGATGGGACCAAGCTGACCCCAATGCTGATTTTCAAGCTGAAAACGATGCCTAAAGACAAGTTCACCAGAGGCGTGTACGTCACAGTACAAGAAAAAGGCTGGATGGACGAGTCTCTAGTACTCAAGTGGCTAGAGAATGTGTGGATGAAGAGACCCGGTGCTGACAGAGGCTGAAAGTCCCTTCTTGTGTGGGACATGTTCCGTGCACATTTGTGTGAAGCAGTGAAGAAGAAGTTGGTTGACAGCAAAATACAGAAGGTTGTGATCCCCGGTGGATGCACCTCCCTGTTGTGCAGCCACTTGACATCTGCCTGAACAAACCCTACAAGGCCAACGCAAGGAGTGCGTGGAATACGTGGATGGTGAATGGTGACCACACATACACAAAAACAAATAAACAAAGAAAGGCACCATTACCAGTTGTCGTGGAATGGGTCAAGACTGCATGGACGGAAATACCAGTGGACATGGTAAAACAAAGTTTCCTAAAGTGTGGGATTTCCAATGCTATGCACGGATCAGAGGACGATTGTTTGTACAAGGATCTTGTTAATGCGGAGATCTGACTCAATAGACAAAGTTGCCGACATCCCTGATAATTTCGGGGATGAATTGAATGATTATTACGACGACAAAACAGATTCGACAGCCTGGGTCATTCTCTGTGCGGAAGAATCCGACTCGAAATTTGATGGCTTCACTGAGGCAGATCTGTGATTTTGCTCTGTTCAAATGACAGCAAACTGTAAATAAGCCTGGAAAATACTTTTGTGATTTTATGTATGATTATTTTAATGATTTATGTATTAAGGTACGATTCTGAATGATGTATGTATTTATGTATGATTCTGAATGATGAATGGATTTATGTAACAAAGTTGTGAATTAATCAAAATAAATAAAATGGGCGTGCGTTAATAAATCGCTTGTAACTTGAAATATGTTCTTATGTTATTACTTCATAAATGAATTTTATTTTATGGGCATCAATTTGGTCAATAAATACGACACTCACCATTCAATCTTTACTGATGGATCCAAGGACGGTGGCAAAGTAGTATCTGCCACTGTCATTGGATCAAAACATTTATCCTCTAGAATACCAGACAATAGCTCTATATTCACTGCTGAGGTCAATGCATATAAACAATTTATAATCTTTTCTGATTCTTTATCTTGTATTCAGGCACTGAAAAAAGTCTCTTCTAATCATCCAATTATTTAAAACATTTTAGAACTTTATAAGGATCTTTCAACTGGCCAATGCAACATCATCTTTTGTTGGTTGCCCAGTCATGTGGGCATAAAAGGCAACACAATGGCTGCTGCTGCTGCTGCTAAAGCAGCACTCAACAAATCTGTGACACCATATTCCATACAGTGACTATAAACCTGTGATCAGATGTTACATCAGAGATCTTATGCAAAAGAAGTGGGACACCCAAGTGGGTATCAATAAATTACATCAAATTAAGCTATTGGTTACACCTACTTGGGTTGTCAGTCCAGATTTGAAGAGGTCATTTTACATCGATGTCGTATTTGCCATTCAAGATATACAAATCATTTATGGATTTAACTACAGCTAACAAGTACTCCATGGATATTGGCATGTATCTCAATTGGTTAATCGCCTGGATCCAACACGCGATGCCACCTCTACCAACGTCTTTTGATGATGTCCCACCAGAGATTCTGATGCCCATTCAAACGGACCAAGTGGGACTCATCTACAGTCTGCCAGATGCGATTGTCGGCATGCAGGAGGATATGCTATCAACGCAGGTCTGGACTGCCTCCTAGCGCCTATGGCTTCAACATCAACAGCTCCTGTCCCATGTCAGATCAAGGGCTGTCTCCAAACATGCCAAGAAGATGGTCATGTCACAGCCAGTCACATC